CTCTCTTTCTCAGTACATTTATCAAAGCCTTCATACGGTCACAGACCCTCTTTTTCAATGCCCCAGCAGCAGCTGTCACAGCTCCACGAGTCAAGACAGTCCAGTGAGTCACGGACATCAGTCACTAGCAGTAACAGCCCCTCTCCTACCAATGGAAAGACTCAGTTATCACCATCTCATGGACCTACTACTGTACCAAGAAGGTACATGTACATCTAGCTATAATTATAATACTTTTATTTATGCTTTTGTTTATATAATTCTTTTATTATTATTTATTTTTTATTATTCATAAATAATGCATTTAATCCTTTTAATAACTGTATACTTGTACTTTTCATTAGGAATTCTGATAGTGCAGTTCGGATTCATGCAGTCAAGTCGAGCAAATCGATAGAGAGCAATTTGTCAATGAAGTGAGTTAATTAGCAAACAGGTTTGACGAGTTATCATAACTGGTTTCGTTACAGGTTTGACCAGACCTTACACATGGCAGATGTGAGTAAATTTGAGCTACATGCAATAACTTCTACGGGACATTTATCATAGCCATTTTTATTTACATGTACATGTACATAATTCAATTATGATTATAACTAATTTTATAATTTTAATTTTTTTCATGATTTAGTTGACAGCTGAGAATTCCGATCTCATACAAGAGAGGGACAAAATGAAACTTGAAATCCTTGAGCTTCGAGATCGACTCCAAGACGTTGAAAAAGATAATGAGGGACTCAGGAACGACCTGGCCCTCTCGGAAACCCTCCGCAAGAAGGCAGAGAGCGAAGTAAAGTCCCTGAAAGAGAACAGAGGCAAGGTTCTACGAGGACTTAGTACCCAAACTGAAATTGCAACGGCTCAATTTCGTCTTGACTTTGAGAATCTCAAGAAGCAGCTCGAAAGCAAGGAAGAGGTGATCGCCCTCCAGGAGAAAAAAATTAAAAGCTTAATAGAGTCGAATTGTACTCTTCGTAACGGTCTGGAACAGGTCCAGGGGGCCCCCTCGATGGGTCATATTGAGAGCGAGGATGATGAGGGGGTCCAGTCTAGTCTGGTTTTGAATGGACACTCACGACGCGTGAATCCTGTTCAAGCCGAACTTGCCAAATTTATAAAACAGCTGGACATTTGAGCCCATCTCTCCCTCCCTCTCTCTCTTCCTCTCTCCTTTCTTCTGAATATACCTCAATTATTAAGAAACTGTCACTGTCGATCCTCTTTAAAAAGAGAGAGAGAGGGAAGGAGGACTATATTCTATTTAATGTTAGTGTTTCTTGTTTTTGATGTGTGTGTGATTATTTGTATCCGTGTCAAATTTTTATCAGTTTATCAGACAATAATATATTTAGTCACAAAATTAATCAGTTATTATTTAATATTATTCTTATTAATTAATCATTATTATTCATCTCTTCTGTCTCAATTATTATTTATTATTATTATTATATAATTATTGTTATTATTATTTTAATGTGATTCACTTTCCGTATGTATGTATTCCCAATTAATATTTAATAAGTCAAACCTGCAATACAATAGTAATGTGTATTAATGAACCTCTGAAATAAGGACAGGTTCATAATCAGGACAGTGCTATTATTGTGTCCCATCTTACCGATCTCGCCTGCATCTTACTCATCTGCTGATCTTCGCATACCAATTAATTAATTAAGTATGTCAATTAATTTTCTCTCTCCGCCCCAGGCGCCCTTGCCTATTCCTAACTTCCTAAGGCTTCCTTTAAATGGCTATGGCTACACCCGAGGATATTTCTCTGGGCATTCTCAGTGGAAGGACTTTGAGTGAGTCTAGAAACGATTTTACTAATCTAATGACCGTTTTAATAACGTTAGATATTAAGGATCTCAATAAAGTGATTGCATTACTCGAGAGGCATAACTACAGCAAGGGATCATATAATAGACTTAGTCAACACCTTAACTTGCCTCACAATACACTAGAGGAAATAAAGAAAGACCATAAAGAAGCTCATTCTCGCTTTACTGAGTGTTTGGCTAGCTGGTTGCGTAAACCTGATGGTGTGGATAATCCAACAATAGATACACTGATAGCTGCTCTTAGAGGAATAGGAGAGAATGCTGTAGCTGATGGTATTGATGGAGAAAGACAAAGTAGTAAATTATTCATAATAATTAAAAATAATTTTATTTTACATGTAATGTAATTTCTAGTCTCGACCCCCGTCCCTATGTCATCTGCTGACTGACATTATACATGTAGTAATAGATTCACCCCTGTGAGAAAATTTGGTGTTGGTAGATCACAGCATAGAAATTAACAGACTTTATGGCAATTGGCAGATTGATAATAAAATTGCGAAAATAAAATCTGCCGTTTTACTTTATTTTGAGCATGATGTGACTGCACTGACCCCAAGACTTCAATAAAACAGCTGCAATCATACATCTGCCAATATTAAACCCAAATTT